TAATTATATATTTTTATATTAAATAATTCAACTAAAAAATAAATTTATTTATTTATTTATTTTTTAACAACATATGATAGTTTTAAAAATTATTATATAAATTTAATTTTTCTAAAAATATTATATTTCAAAATTTAAATAAACTATTTTTTTAAAATAATAAATAATTGGTGCCGTTACAGATTATAATGATTTTATTTAATTATTCTTTATAAAGACGCTATTAAAAAAAATGTACTTACTTTATTATATTTATATTTACAATTATATATTTTATGATTATATTTCTTATATTAAATAATTCAATTAAAAAATAAATTTATTTTTTCTTTAATTTTTAATAATTTATGTTAGTCTTAAAAATAATTAAATAAATTAAATTTTTTTAAAATGTTATATACTAAAGTAATTTTAAAAATAATATAATTTATTTAAATTTTTTAAATTTTAAATAAATTATTTTATATAAAAAAAATAATTAGTGTTACTATAGTCTGTAGCAACTTCATTAAATTCTTTTTTTAAATTTTCAGGCAAACATGAAGCCTTGTGTATTGTTAGTGACTCTAGTGACTTTAGTTGAAACGTTATCAACCGTGACAACTTTTATAACATGATTTTCATGACTTCTAAAAAAAAATACACGTGACACTAGTGTCGCTATAGACCATAATTAATTTTAAAACAACTTCATTTACATAATTAATTTTACAAAATACCATACAATGGTCAATTAGCATGAGAAAACAAAAGGTTAACATTAACTAACTGCTAATAGAAACCGTTAACAGCAACAGCAGCTTATTCTCAACAATATTCTTCTCAAGATCATTCATTGTTTAGAAAATTTCACGAAAAGTCTCATTAGATACGAATTTGGATGTATTTCCAAAAAAAAAAAAAAAAAACTCTTTATTTTCTATAAAAAGGCTTCGAAAAGCTCCCAAATACTTTGAATGTGTGACATAGTGGCAGCCAGTTGTATAAGACATTTGTTATTTTTCTCCTGTCTGCATCTGACTACACTCTCTGTACTGATACATTCGATATATTTTATCATGATTCACATATGTGGGCCATGTCCTATTCATGAACCATGAGCCACTTCATGTTTCCAATTTGATATCTAACAATTGGATTACTAATAATCGTATAAAGGGACAATGCATTATATTACAGAGTAAGACAAGAAAAAGAACTTGAGGAAAATTTGAACATTTTTGCTTGCTTCATATTTAAATGTACCAAGAACTGCATTATGATCCGTGACTCCCGTTGCTAGAGTTTATACTTTTGTCATTCAACCTAAGAAAACGTTTAGTTCCACATCCAATATGTCTAAAATCAATTTTATTATATCTAAAATGACTGAAATTACGTTTATTTGTAGTATGTTTGACTGTTAACATAATTAATTTTAAGAAGTGAAAAGTTACATTAATTTCTCCATCAAACAAAATTTATTTTAAAATTTTACCTATTCAAATTTATAATTATACACTCAAAATTAATTTTCATAACAAGTTTTCAACTAACATTTAATATAAAAATCAAGTTCATATTCTTTGTGATTCATTCAAATAAAAAACATTTTATATAATTCCTGTTTATTCAAAATCAATTCTACAAATTCACATTAATTTTAAATAGCGTTGTTGAATTGATGTTATGATGAGAAAGACCTCACTTTTTTTGGCTTGAAAATTTTAATTTTATTTATGGGAAGAGAACTGAGACACCACTATTTCAAGTTTCTTGCATCCAAATCATGAAGTTTTCAACTCAAACAAAGGCATGGTTTTCAGTTTTTAGTTTTGTAAAGAAATGAAAAAAAAAGGAAATACTTTGGATATAAAAGTTGAAGCAGAGCAACATTTCCCATTGAATCTATGTGGCCTAATAAAGTAAATGATAATTGGATTAGCTGTAACTGGACATCTGATCTTCCTTGAACGTATGAGCTCAAGCAATTCAAAAGATTCATATATTAATCACACCATGAAATAACTGTACCTTACATCTCAGGTTCTTTATCAACATTGTTAAGTACTATAATGAAGGAAGCAGCAATTTAATTAATAATCTTATTTTAACTGGAAAGCTGTAGACTTTAAGAATAGAAGCTATTCCTGCAGCATATGAGAATGATCACAAATCCCTACCGAAAACAACCCTGTTAACTCTCCCGTCTTAATTATTTCATTGGAAAAGAATGAATTATAATCTAGTTCGCTTATATATTTGTTTTTGAACCTTCAAAACTTCTTATTTTACTTTGTTACCAAACTAAACCAACATTGCATAGCATAGGATATTAACAATGAAATAAAATGTAAAATATAAAAAATCCCCTCCAAACAGTATCATATTTTATATTCTTGGTATTATTATAGATTTCAGAATCTTGGCTACTTCTCCACATATGAATACTACTACTACCCAGCCTAAACATTACAAAAGCAATAGGCATTCATGTTTATTGTGCCTCTTATCCCAGTGGTGATACATTACAAACTGGAAGGCTCTAAACATTCATTCATAAATCTAAAGTAGGCTTTCCTTGTCCATTTGTTTGAGAAATTTAACAAGTTCTTCCAAAGCAACTTGGGGATCCTCATTTCTCATTAACTGCTCTGCTACTACTGCAGGAGTCACTTGTAATTTGTCCAATAGACCATCGATTTGTTCAAACAGTGGATGATGTCCTTCAATGCCTAAATAAGTGGAAGCTAGGATTCGAAATGCCTTGCCTCCGAGGAAGGACAAGTGAATATGCATGTCCATACGACCAGGGCGCAGCAACGCAGGATCAATTCTTTCTCTGTGGTTAGTAGTGAAGATTATAATTCGCTCCTCTCCACCACTTGACCACAACCCATCCATGTAGTTAAGCAGACCCGACAGAGTAAACCTGCCTGTCTTAACCTACACAAAGATTTTCAGAAGAATTGCATAAAGTACAATACAATTAATTGAATGTCAACTTGTCAAGAAAAGACCGGTGAAATAAATAAAGGGTATCAAAGAAAATTAATGAATAATTTATTTAATGTATGTTGTCAGCTTAAGTTGAAGCAGAGTCTGAATTACATAGAAAACAAACCTTGAGATGCTTGCGGTCATAGTCTGAATCTGAATCTGAATCCGAAGGAGCCTTTGATGTTGATCGAACATGCACCTCTCTGTTGCAGTCTATGTCTTCGATGACGATGATGGAGCGGTTAGATGTCTCACTCAAGGCTCGCATGAGGTCTGAATTAGAATAGACAGAACTTAGCTCCAAGTCATACACATCAAACTTCAAGTGGTTGGCCATGGCTGCAATAAGGCTAGATTTTCCTGTTCCGGGAGGGCCATACAAGAGGTAGCCACGTTTCCAAGGCTTCCCCACTTTCTTATACAGTTCCTTCCTCCGCAAAAACCGATCCAAATCACCAATTATGTCCTTCTTCTGCTCAGGATCCAATGCAAGTGAGTCGAACGAAGCTGGATGCGTTAAGTCACTTTTCCTCCAACTCCTACCACCAATGGAATGGATCTTGATGGTCTTCTGCTCAGCTTGCATGGCCTCGTAAGTGCTCAGAACGTGTGAAATATACTTGCTCATTACTACATCTCTATGCCTCTCTTCAAAGGTTAGCTTAAACGAGAGCTTCTCGAAGCTGTGCATCTTTGGAAAATCACGACCAGAATCCTTGTTGGAGGTTTCTTCAATAAGCTTCCACGTAAGCTTGATGTCTTGGAAGTGATCCACCACCTCTTGGGTTCCATCCACGGCCACAACAACGTTCTTATGCTTTGGGATTTTGCCAATTTTGAGGGACTTGAAAGAGTGGGATATTCTTGCTGGGAGATACTCTTGTGCGGCTTGGAAGAGTTTGTTGGTTTGGCCATCCCACGACTGGTTTATCTGAAGCGAGACCTGGTTGTTGCGTTGGTGGTCTGAGAAGAACGCCTTGAGCTTTGAGACGATGAGAGACCGAATTTGGTGGGGTATCAGATCGTTGATTGCAGTTCTTAGTAGCATCATGAATGTGGAGAATGCAGCATACACCTCGAACCATGATGAGGCCGAACGAACGCTTGTGAAGGAGGAAGAGAGACTCCCCATAGAAGGTATCATGGTGAAAATAATGTAAGATGATGATTCTACACTTTCCACTTTCCACTTTATTGAGCCACCAACATATAAAAGTGTGAGTGAGGTGAGACACTTGTTTTCTTGTAAATGTAATTATATATAATCTATATAGCTCTCTACGCTCTACCTTATCACTAGGAAGGAATCTTTTCTTTGAGACCTTATAAATGAATAAATTAATATGATATGATCTACAGAGGGAAGCACGAACCAGACCCGAAGCTGCCTATCTAATTCGTCAATTTTGAGCTACTTCTTTTTTCTGCCACAGACCTCAAAGCTGACTAGTAATAGAATTTTATAAGGTGCTACAGTATTTGCACAAAGAAAAAATCTACATCCTCCGAAAACATATTTCAAATCTTTAAAAAGTTAATTTAAAGTATGAAATATTAAATTAAATAATTATTTAATAATAAATTTATTGAAAAGTATTAATATTGTTTCGTTTCGTTTTCGGAGGATATGGCAATCCTCTTGCACAAATCCCTATTGTTTTCAGACTCATGTTCCTCTCGTCAATTGTCAGATAATTTGTACTAGGAAAGAATACTAAAATACTAGTTATGAGAGAATTCATCGATGTTTTAATGAAGTTCGTCAAATTTATTTAATGGTGGGTGGAATGAAATGAAATAGAATAGGCATTGTTCTGTACGTAGTTTAGCTTTAGCCGGTACTTTTCTGAATGAATAAAAAAGTAATTTCACCACGACCCCAAGTTAGCATGAGAGTGATGGAATGAAATAAATTGAACAAAATAGATTTTATTGTTTATTTTACTTTATTCTATTTGAAAACAGTTTAAACAATTAATATAATATCGTTCAACGTATTTTATCTATTTCCATAAATCCAAATACAATCTACAAGACTACAATACGGTTGTAATTGCACTGGACTATTGGAATTTGGAACCTAGCGGTTGGCATATACAAAGCTCGGACAACATCATCTTTTAATTTACAAAAAATGATCACTAAACCCTCCAATGCACCGATCATTACTATCTAGATAACATTCACCAAGAGAAAGAAAGAGAAAAATATATAATATGATTAAAATATTTATAAAATATTTAGTTTTAGCTGGTAGAGTGTATCCAGTGCACCAAACATTATCATGTAATTTACCATTCATGAGTAAGTGTGTAGGCACATACGAAGAAGTTTCCATGCATTTATCATGTGGAAGAAGTAGACCTTACATGTCGGAGAAATTTCTAGGTAGATAATGTTTAAACTTCCAGGTATATCACGTAAACATGGTAAATGAACGGTGGCCTTGCAATATCGAAAGTTGATTTTTAAAATAAGGAAAAATAGTAATTGATGAAATAATTGTTAGATTCTTTAACGAAAATTCTAACATGAAATACAAAAAAATGTAGTACATAGATGACTTACTATTTTTAATCATTAAATTTAATATTATAATAACTAACGGTTTATATTTATTACTTATAATTTAGAAAAAATAATTTTTTTATTTTATAGATTAGTTCATGTGTTTAGTACTTCATGTAGGAACTCACCCATGGGCCATGAGCTATCACTTAAGACGGCACCCGGCACTACCGTCACCACTGCATGTGACCGTGACCGTGACAGAACTCGCGGCAGAAAAAGAGAGAATAAAGACAAGACAAGGACGACCGTAATCGCGACCGCAACTGTGACGGTGATCGAGTGCGTCGCAAGAGATCCGTTCGCGATCAATTGGTAAGTGAGGACTTTGGGGCTACGTGGAGCTTAATAATTGGTTACAAAATTCGGTTTTGGCGATAATTTAATTGCAGTAAAGTTAAAGTAAAACCGTCCAAAGCATTGGACACATCAGGGTTAGCATAGGAGTGTGCCTTAGTGCCATGTATTTCTTTTGGGCCTTGTATTTTCGGCCTAGTAGTGTAGGAATGTCATTTAGAGGTCATGTGAATTTAGGGTTAATTAGTATTAGTAAGATCATGACACTTCGTCTCTCTATATTTTATTTAATAAAAATATTAATATTTATTAGATTAGATGTTGTGACTTGTAAGGCTTAATTCTCAAATCTTAAAGTCGTAGATTTGAATTTTATGTTTGTAAGATTAATTAATTTTTATTATTTAAAAATTTATAAAGAAAATCATGTAAAAAAAATTGTACACCAAAATGAAGTGAATCCTCTTCTCATGTAAAAGGTTTCTCTGGTCCGATTTTGATAATACCATTCAAAAATACACATTTAAGCAACACAAGCATGTTGAAGAGCCCCTTAAGGTTTGTTTGGTTTTAAAAAATGTTTTTTTATTTACTTTTTCAAGAATTTTTTTTTATTTTCTAATTCTAAAATTTAGAAAACATGTTTGGTTTGACTATTTTCAATAAAAGTTTATAAAATATTTTTGTTATTGTAACATTGTAAGTTGCGATAGTGTTATGTTACTTTTAGTCGTTTATAATGTTAAGTTGAGTTGTTTGTGCTGAGAGGCTTGAGAGTCTAAGGATCGCTTTTGAGTTTCAATGGTGTTAAGAGGGGGTGCTCTAGACAGACACCCAGTTGATCCTAGAGGAAAGAGTATATAAGATTTATGTTTTAAATAAAGCCTCATAAACTCGTTCCCCTCAACTTCCTAGAGAAAGGATCCTAGGGAGGATGTCTTTGATCTGTGAGCTCTATTTTCTCTCAATCTTCTTCTCTTCTTCTTTCCAATTTTTTTCTAAGTGGTGTTGTTGTGATTCAGGTGGTGGAGACCTCGAATTAACCCATCGATTTTGTTGTAGAGCCGATCATTCTTCTTCTACCTTGGAATCGAACTGGCTGAGATAAGGGAAGTTGGAAACTTGTGTGTTGGATGATTTGAGGATTTGTAGACAAATTTTGTGTGTGTAGTGTGAAATCCAGATTGTGTGTGCCTGTGTTGATGAAATTGAAGTAAGGAAAAGGTTGGTAATAGGGTTTTTGAGTTTTTAGCAAAAATTGTTCATTTCTTGCAAAATCTTGGTTGCATGTTGGATGTGAGTACGTTTTTGAGTTGATTTTGATGTTTATACCTACTGTTTGATGTTGCATGTGTTGAATTTGTGTTGGATTTCAGGTTGTAGCTCAAAATCGAGTTCTACATATGCAAAATTTTGATGTCACACCAGGCGCACCTCTAAGGAGTTGGGTGTTGTTCTAGCATAAGGTTCTCTATCTCAATCACGCCAAGCACAAGATTGGTGGTGCCGAGCGTGAGGAGAGAGACTTATCTCGGGTTGGGACAGAGCCGAGCATGGTTGAATGGCGTTAAGGTGTCATAATATAATATAATATAAAATTGAATAACCTCAATATAATAAATAAACTCAAAGTTTACACAAGTAGAAAGAATCACATTTTAACATAAACTAAACTTAGTGAAAATATTAAATTACAAAGGAATTAAAATTAAACTACTCAAAGTAAATAATGTAAATCAAATCCTAACTAGTAATAACTAATCCCTAGTATCACGTGTCTTATCAGAACAAAACTCAACATTGAGGACTAAGCCTCATCACCGACATCCTCAGTACCATGCTAATGATTACCTACAAAATCACAAGACAATACAAAAGAAAAGGGAGTGAGAAACATCTCACTCTACAGATCGGTTCACAATGTTACTTAAAAATATATTTTACAATAAAATATTTAAATAACACATAAATAATATTTTAGTAAAATACATTTATTTTTAATTTTTTTAAGTATTTTTTTAATTCTTTCAAAATAAAGAAAACATGCATTAAAAAAAGAGAAGAGGCGAATTTTATTTCGGTGAAAAAATTATTATTACTCATATATTAGTCAGATTATTTTCTCATTAAAAAAATACTAGGTTATCGACCCCTAAGAATAAGATGGACATGATAAACAAAATATATTACTATAAAGATTGACATTTTTTTGTTAACTATTTTTTTCCTTCATAATATATATAATTAATTTTAATTTTTATACATAGAAAATAGTTATGTTAAAATTTTCGAATCCAACATTCATGACTTCATGAGTTGTTGGACCTTCGACCTACATCTAATAAATTTTATTTGTTAATTTATTTTTTAAAGGATATATAAACATAAATTGACAAAGTGAACTACAACATCATTTGTTTTATCTTTATTTATATTATAACCTGCAACACAAATTCATTTTAATTAATTAATAATATTCGAATATGACTTTTGAAATTTTTTATTAAAAAAATTAACATGAAATTATATATTTTTATATATACAACTGACTTTTAGCACATGAAATTTTATCTTTGGCAGTATCTATTCAAATAGCAACGAAAGAAAAATGGTCGTCCATTTATCATCACTCAAAATGATAAGTCTGCAAACAAACACAATAATTGAGAAGATGAGATGAACGAGTTATATTTAAGGCTTGGAATTAATTTTTGTGTGATTAAATAAAAATATAAAAAATATCTAAGTCAAATTTTGATAAATCTCTCTATAAACTAGATTTGAAGTTGTAGCTAGTATAAGAATTTTTAATCCATTATGTGTTACATAATAATGTAAATAAAATTATTCACATATGTAAAAATATTTTGCATATATTTGAAAATAATTGTGTTAAGTAAACTTTGACTATGATTTAATTGAATATTCTTTACTTTGACTTAAATATGTACTTTAATTTATTTCATATTTTCATAATTATTATGTTCAATTACCCTATAAAATAAATCATATTTTGTGATAAATCATATTTTATCTTAAAAAAATTTATTTTATTTGAATGTATTTGTTTTGATATAATATGTAAATATCATTGATGGAAGACCATCCAAGGAGAGTTCACACATAAGGATTATTGGGTCTTTAACTATGTCCATGGTCAGGAGGTTATAGGAGGTTTCTATATAAAATATACTTTTTAGACCTATGCTTCACATAAGTATTGAGTATGTTTCCTCTTATTAGTTTCTTAGTCTTCATTGTAAATACATTATATAATATTTGTACATAGTATATATTTGTATATGTGTATTTTTACCTTTGTATTTGTAAGGCACCTTTTTCTTTCTTTATAGGTCATACCTTAGGATTCTAAGGTATGTTACTTGGAGGCTTTTACTCCTCTTGACCTTGTATTAAGGATCATTAATTTTTATATATTTTTAGTTTTAGTAGTGGGGTGGCAAATAACAAATGTGTAGGTGAAACTAGCGATTAGGCCCTTAGTGAGCTCAAACTAATTTTTAGATAT